TGACGAAGAAATACATATAGATGAAAAGACACGTAAATATATAGAGCTGTTTGATCAAATTATAGATGAAGAGAACAAGGAAAATATTCACGATGACACGGTTGTGGATGAAGTAGCTGAAAGTAATCTTTTAGATAAAAAGACGAAATATACGGAAGAAGACAATGAAAATTTCGACAAATTAATTGCTAAAATGAAAGAAATCATGGATCAATTAGATGATTTGTCCGAAAAATACCATTACTTATCCAACACTTTTCCCATAGCAGCGCAACATTATGATCAATTAAAAATGCCTGATATGTTTATTGTTAAGAGCATTTCTAGTCATCTCGATACTATCATAAAAATGAATGGTGTTATGAAAAACGTCCCTGAACGCACATGGACAGCTCATGTATTGGCCTATCTATTTTTCGTTACGTTTTGTTTTATAAATTCATTACACTATTATTCGTGTGAAAGAAGTATTGCGACAAAAATAGATGTTCAAGAAAATAACTTTAAAGCTGATGGTGTATTAGAGCTTTTTGAGCGACCCATGCAAATTCCATTGTTTTTGCTCGAGGTGTCAGAAGGTCCCAATAATCCGGACCCAGATAAGATTAACGATGATAGAAGGAAGTTAATGAAAGAAGGCGTTTTCGCTATCAATAAGTTTATGACAAGAACGAAACTGCCAACGTTAGAAGTTTGTAGCACATTAAAAGTTTTCTTGGCACAAGGATTTGGTAAGTTTCAAAATGGTTTGTTACTTCTAAATATTTCTGTTTTTAATGTATATTATTCTTAGGCGATAATATTGAAATTGGTCAAATGATCTTTGTTGGACCTGGGTTATACCATTTACGATTCCGCCTCTCACCATCCCAACTTCTGTGGATAACTTGGAGCATATACCTCGACTTATTCGAACGCTCCTATGTTTACGATACAATGTTCTTAAGGAAATTAAGATGTTTGAGAAGTTCTCAAAGGAAGGACAGAAACTTATAGTGAAACCTAAAAATAAATATCCAACTGGAGTTACTCCAGAACGACCAAAAGCTGTAACATTTGCACAATTTTTACCAAAAATATCGAAAGGAGAGAAGAACAAGGTAAAAGGAAGAGGAAAGGGTAGAGGTCGTGGTAGGGTAGATAAGGAATTCACAAATTGAGTTCTTTACAAATTGGTTTCTTTTTTTAAATTTGGTAAACTTATTTTGCAATCATAAATTGTATCCAAAGATAATGTGTTATTGACGCATATATTACTGTGTAAGTGTAATTAGGCTAATGTGGCATCGGTATGCAAAAATAAACACAAACATGTATGCGAAATCACCATCAGGACCAGATCATGTATCAGTTTATTGCATGAAAACATAAATTATTCCGTTATTATCGCATGTTGTAAACGGCAGAATTACTCCCGGAACTGCGCCAAAGATCGACAAAATTAAATTTGGTAAATTTCGTAAATCTAGTTAATTTAGTAAATATATAGATAGGATTGAGTGAATTTATTTGATTTAGTATATTTATTCGATTTAGCGGATTTATTTGATTTGGTTTCAAAGATATATAAGTGACCATAACTCTACCTTTTAATAAAGAACAATTCAACTCCTTTGAATTCAATATCCTTCGTTCTACTAATCCTCCCGATAAGTAAAATTCATATCCCGAATTAGAGCCTCGTGACATAATATAGAGCTCTAAACTAACACCCTAATTACTCGGATCAAATATTACCACGCCTCGATCGAAGCCTACCATTATTAGGGTTTAGTTAGAATAGTTTAGTTAGTAGTAGTGTAATATTAGTAGTATTGTTAGATCTATTATCCATATTACGACCCATACCTATTCCGGAACATTTTCCATGTTCTCTTCATCTATAATTTGATCAAACAGCTCTATATATTTACGTGTCTTTTCATCTATATGTATTTCTTCGTCA